ATCGTGGCCCGGCCCGATACTGGTATCGGTGCAACACTAGTTAAATGCAGAGGTAAATTACTCCAATGTGAGATCAATAAAGTACATTTTTTATAATTATAACAAGGCCAATATTGACAACTAATGTTTATATCCATCTACTTTTTGCTTCAGGGGCAGAGCTTGTTCTTGCCGAGTTTGCTTGGTCATATGACAGTAATAATGATGCAAAGCAGGATAATGGTTGTTTGTCTGCAATATTAACCTGGGACATATGTGTTCATCCCTTCTCTGAACGAATCGTTTCTGCCTCTATTATGGATTTACTGTACACATATACAATCCACGTTTTCCTTTTTTCCCCACAGAGAACGTATAAAGATATGATCCAGTTTAAACATGTTCACCTGTTAGTTGAGAAGTCCTTCTTTGCAGCAGGTGGTAGAGATGGTGCTCTATGTTCAACAGGGGTGATCAAGCTCAAGTTTCTGTCCAACAGCCTGGTGTATTAAGACACAAATATAGCTTTATTTCCAAGACATTACTGATCACTGCAAATAAGTACCGATGATAAAAAATTACCTTTTCAAACACAGAACCACTCTTCAAATGCTCCCATGTATATTTTTTTTTAATGAAGCATGCATGTTTATTGAAACAAATATTGCCTACCTATAGTCTCCAGAGGCACTGCAGCCACTGCGGGGCGCCGAGCGGTCTGCTGTCCAATTAGAATATTTTCCAGCAGATGGCTGGCGGAGAGAAGATCTTGGAGTGACTAAAAGATAAAAGAAAGAATAAGTTCTGATAAAATGGCTGGTGACAAAAACAAATCAATTCTGCACTGACTGGCTCAAAACCAAATGAGTTTGTGTGGGTTTTAGTGCTTTGATAGAATCCTGAATCGACTGAAATCTGCAGATCGGATCTTGAAGAGAACCTGAAACTGTACATCCTAAATTAGGCTATGTTCACACTGCAGCCTGAAGTGACCCAAATCTGATTATTTTGCCCATATGCGACCTGGATCTGATCTTTTCATGTCTGTCTGAACAACTCAGATCCGATTTTTTTTCCAATCAGACCCAGGCCACTTGGCTATGTGGTCCTGAATCCGACACAAATCTGATCTTTTCAAATGCGACCTGTGTCTGAACGGCCAGGTCGGATTCATTTGACCTGAACGTCATTAATACCAGACAAAGGTCAATATTATGCATCTTGCTACGCAGAAGCGGCAAGAAAAACAAGAAGCATGACAGATGATGATGCGGATAGCAGTATGAATGTTTAGCCATATTGAAAAGAATGAGTTTTTATGGTTGGAAAAGACCGCTACATGCGGGCCAGCACTACTATCCATATTAACTTCCGTAAACACAGAGCACGCTGTCCTGTGACGTCATTGCGTCCTCTCCTGCGCATGCGGGACATTTGCGTTGTATGACTGCAGTTCACACAGGAGATCACATAGAATTCACATATATTTGGAAATATAAAAGGGAACGCAAACAAAATCAGATTTTACAAAAAAAATCAGAATTGAGCATCAAGGCCTGCAGTGTGAACATAACCTTAGACTGCTGACACTTTAAAAACTATCTGGGATTTATATGGTTTAATACCACATATGGAAGAGACTCAAATCTGATGGAGAGCATGAGAAAAATGAGCCCAACCTGCTGCTACTAAACAAAGGTCTCATACCGTTAACCATGTAGGGATTGAAGGGTTTGTATCTCATCTTGCAGTTGACGACCTGGGAGCTCCCAGATTTCTTTGAGCTCCTCTGTCTGGCAACCAGCTGAGCAATGCCAGCCGTGTCATCGCACACAACAGCAAAGCATCTCAGCTACAGAACAGATGTCATGAAAAGGTTAACCAATAAAAGCCAATGCATCTAGAAATGTTTTAACCATAACATATTTTATTACATTAATAACTTTAACTAGGACAAAGGAAAACAATGCAGTGATTTAATCTACATATACAAGCAGCTGAGAAACAAGAAGCAGTGTTAAAAGCAAAACCTGCTCTTACCTGTCCCATGGAGTTCTCAAGCCTCACCACAGAGGGAATGCTTCGGAGGAAGTCTTCCAGCTTTGAGAAGCCCAGCTTTCCCAGAGGGATGAACTCCCCACTTAAGGAGCGATAGTCTGACTGCAGGCGACTAAGAGGCACACCGGTCTTGGAAGACTGGAGGACAGCCCTCAATATCTTTTTAATAGATTCAGTGTCCGACATCTTGACAAATTCTGAAATAAACAACAACAAAAAAAGTCTTATATATTGTATGCTATACTTAGTGAAACAGTTTACATTTTAAAAGTTCAGTAGGAGATCTTTTCTGATGCATTTTTTACCACGTGGCTTAAAGATCTCCCCACAGCCGCTTAGCAAGCAGTGAAATAGAAGGTCTGGAAGTGAAACAAAAATAAATGGTCCCCGCTACAGTGAGAAATCAATGAATAATCTCAACCAATCACAAAAGACGATCCGTACACGATTGGTTCCCTGACATGTCAATCATGGTCGTCTGCTTGTCCCTCCCCCCTGTGCGCGTACCCTGACACATGAACGAATCGCCCCCCCAATGCTCGTGCAGGACGTCATGGCTGTAAGCTAGCCACTGTTATGTCCGGTCCAGTCAGCTGATTGGACCAGTGTGTTTCGCTAACTAATGTTTTGTTCTTTACAGGTATCACTTGCAACGGTTTACACTTTCTGCAGCTAAGTGATGGCGCAGTGGTTGGAGCAAACCTCAAATCTCATGTGACAGTTTGACTTTGCCCCTCACATTCTCTCTTGTCTCTAACCAAGCCTATTATTTGCCGCCTTGATCAGCAACTGGACGCAGCCACTTCAAATGCATTGGCTGTCGGAAAAGAAGGAAGGACATTATCATCATATCAGGAAAACACACGTCTATGACGCCTGTTGTCTTGGTAATGACACGAGTTAGGAATGTGCATTTTGACATGTCACTATACGAGTCTTGCGGTACCATCAAGGCAGACATAAAAAGCAGCGCTTGTTGGTAAAAGACGGCGAAAAAGCAGCATTTCAGAAAAACAGGAGCTTTTAGCGAGTGAATTTCAATCCTAACTTGATAATCAGATGCAAATCAAGACACTCTCGGCCTTCTATAAGTGTTAATCTGTCCCCCCTTGTAACTTTACAAATTAAAGGTCTATCACCTCCAAAGTTTCAGGATTGATTTGTCATCATAAAACATGTTTGTAAGCCAAAAAGGAAAAAGCTGGGACCCATTGTGGCCAATTTAGACAGGAGGAACATACAGCAGAGAAAGACAGGCTGCTTTAATCTGTTCCCCCTTG